TTGGAATGATATATAATTTTTTTCTTTATTTTATAATCACTATTGTTAAAAAGTTAGATGAGTTTTTTATGCACGGTGCCCACTAATGTTTCTTGGTTAAAATAACTTCCAGAATTTTGACATTGACATCTGAAGTCAATAGAATAAATTGAATAGTATGAGACAAAATATATATAATCTGACTTCAATAATTGCAAGTACCATATATTTATAATCACAGTATTATACAATTTGGCAATGGAGTAAAGATTTAGAAATGAATGCAGAACATTCAAATAAGCACAGAAAACTTGTGAAACTGCATGTGTATTTTTCAAAAATAATTGTAGTGTTTTTAATGCATGTGTAGTGTTTAATGCATGCATAACAATCAAATAAATCTGCCTGTAATGATGAATTTCAAAGGCCAAGCCAAAATCCTTTCATGAATTTGATACTTCTAAAGAATGTGATCTCGTCAAATTAAATCCTCATGACATTGATAAACAGTTATTACTGATCTGTGTTACAAAACAGATTTTTATACATGATAAATAATATTTTCTGAAGCGTTATTTTCTGTTGTCATCTCTAAATAAGAAATTGCCTACAAATTCAGAAAGCTACTGAACTACGTTCTAGAGTTTTTAATAACTTTAATTGGATATGTCTGTGGGGATGTAATTTAAAAAATTGTCGTTTAAACTGGCCTTGATGCTTTTTAAAATGCATGTTGGCACTGTGCTTCGAAATTAGGCCTATGTTTTGAATGATTAGAGAATTAAAAATTAAATATTTCAATTAAAGCAATAAACATTACTACAATTATAACAAGAATCATAGTCTGCTCTAATTATAAATGTATTTATCGGCCTAGTATCTTAAAAGTTGGGTGAAGTGAACTCATTATTTTCTTATCTATTGTAAGAGCACTATAGCAAGAAATATAAAGTTTTATTTTAGTTGTTTTTAATTTATAGCAAAACACTACTTCATTTAATTTTTGGATAATGTTCTAAAGAACACTTTAAATTATAGGCAAAAAATAAATATTGGATAATTAAATTCTGCCCAAGCTTACAAGATGCTGCTGCTGATATGTTAGACATGGTTTGTTTATTGTTTCAGTTTTTTATAATACTGGGCCTAATTTAATTACCTGCATATTTATTTATTGCCTATACTTACTTACAGTTCATGCTTGCTGCCTTTGGCACAACCTCACTGTGTGAAACACTTTTCTCACATTTCTTTCGTGTGGTTTGTTTTTTGTACTTTTATTTATTTTGTATACTTTTTTTTTATTACTTTATGTATTTACAGGATCATTTTGAGGAATCTCAATTTGAGTCACTATGCAAAGATAGTTAAAAAACTAAGAAAAACTGCAGTACCAACACTCTTTAGCATTCCAAATCCACCACCATCTGTAACTGACAAGAGGATAAGAGAAGTAAGATGTCCTAAGCCAAATACTGAAGTGGTAAATTATTTAATATTCTCCAAAAAAATTGTTGAAAAAATCATTGTTATTACAAATATATTAATTCAGTCAAACCATTGTTTAAAAAAATAATCACAGCATAACATGTTTACTATTTCTTTTTGAATTTAGGAAACTCTACCTGCTTCAAATGAAGAGTTGTTAAAAAAAATAGAATTCCTTGAGCAACAGCTTCAAGAAAAAGATGCAAAATTGACATCATTTTTGTCCGATGAGCAAGTAGGAACCCTTGCTGTGCAGTCAAAAAGGAACTGGTCAGAAAAGTCCATTATAAAAGGACTGAAGATGCGATTTGCTTTGAGCAAACATGGATATAATTACCTCAGAAGTACTGGATATCCAGCACCATCGTACAGTACCTTGAACAGGAGGATTAGGGACATAAAAATTAAATTTCGGCATTTTAGAAAATTTGTTTTTTTTCCTCAAGACAAAAGTTCATTCATTGGATGCTCTTGATAGGAACTGCTGCCTTTTAGTTGACGAAATGGAAATAGCTTCATATCAAGATTTTGATACATCGTCTAAGTCATTCATTGGAAATGTTACGTTAGGAAGCTAAGCATTACACTATTGTAATGCTTAGAGGCCTTAAAACATCATGGAAACAGATTGTTGCCAATGAATTAACAGGGCCTTCAACATCAGGTTCTGACATGAAAGATCTAATTCATAGAACTGTAGTAGCAGCTACAGAAATAGGTTTAACTGTAAGAGCCTCTGTTTCAGATATGGGAAGCAATAACAGAGCAATGTGGTCGTCATTGGATGTGTCTGTCTCTAGGAGAGATAGGAAGACAAATTACAACATTGGAGGACCTGATGTTTTCATTCACAGTATTGCAGATGTACCACATCTCATTAAAAAATATGAGAAATACATTTCTTTCAAGTATTATAATATTACCAGAGGAATTTCGCCAGCAGCATGCCTTGCCATCGAGGATAGTATCTTCAGTGTATGTGAAACGACTCTGGTCAAGTGAGATAGAATCAGATGCTGCCCTGAGATCTCTACATCACTTGAACAGAGTTCATCTCTTCCCAACACACTTTTCCTCGATGAATGTGGCATCTGCTGTGCAATTGTTTTCTGTAAAAACAGCTGCTGCTATTGAAAAAGCAGGTTATTTTACACCAAGTTGCAAAAGAAGCATTAACTTCTGCATGGTGGCTGAGACTTGTAGCAGAATGGTTTACAATTATGACTGCAAGGCATCCAAAAAAAGGCATCACTATCAAAAATCAAGATGAGAAATTTAATATTTTATTGAAATTCATTCATGTGACTGAAACTGTTCAGTTTGGGAAAGCATGGAAGCCATTTCAAACTGGCATTATTATGAGCACATTGAGTGTTGTGAAACTCTCAAAAGAATTATTTTCCGAGGGGTTTACATTTTTCTTACCAGGCAGGTTGACACAAGATGCGCTGGAAAATGCCTTTTCACAGATTAGACGAAAGTTGGGTGCAAAGCCTACTGCTTTGCAAGCCAAGAGAGCACTGAAATTAGTGTGCCTATCACAGTTCATTTCAGATATCAATAATCCAAATTATTGTTCTGAAAGTGACCACAGCCTCTTTGATGCTTCTGAATTAGAGGTTGCTATCAGAAAGGAGGTCTTGCATCCTATCTCCAATTCTGTAGTGCCATCTACCTCTTCTGCAGTGGCAGTGAAACGTCGCTTGCCCCCAGCTGTGGAAGAAAATGATATATACATTACATCGCAGGAGCCATATATAATAAGTTGTTGAAAAAAAAAAAGCATATGTGAAAATTGTAAAACAGCTATGACCATTTCAGAGGACATGCTGGAACCTGACATACCCGAGCATCGCACAATTCTTACAAAACACAGCAATAAAGGTGGACTGAAGGTCATCTCTTCAGGAATGTATCGAATATGTAGGGAAGCTGAACGAGAATTTCAAAAATGTAAAGATGTACTCCTTCGTTTACAATCAGCCATCACAAAAGAATTAGTTGAAAGAATAATTGATAAATGTACGCATGTGGCCATGCCAGAATGCTGTAATCTTAAGAAAGTAATTATTGATAATTTTTTTATTACTAGATGCAAAGGCCTTACACAGCATCTTATCAACAAAAGAGCCCATAACGTTTCATATTCATCAGCATCGGCCAATAAGAAACAAAAAGTAAAATAATTTTAGAAGGTATGTATGTTTTATATTAAATAATTTATGTGTTTTATGTAATATGTATTACTTTTTCCTAGGCTACGAGTATATAAATTTCTGTGTTTGATGTTATATATGTTACTTTCTGCTAGGCTATGAGTATATTATTATGGTATTATTTTCTTGTTTCTAATATATAGAAATATAGCATATTTTCCAGTATAAAATTTCAGTTCAGTTTTACTTAAAAGTATGGGAAAGCAGATTTGTTTCATGCATGATCTTTATAATACTGGTATGAAATGAATGAATTTTAATCTGTAAACAATTTTTTGTTAATATTGAAATGTGTTTCCTTTGGGTACATTTTTAGGCACTTGTGGATCATGTCAGACAACATGCAATAGAAAAAAGATGTCCGTGTGCATAAATTTTTCCCATTGTGTTACTTCATTTTATCTAAATTTCAAGGATAATTCTTTTCATTTTTATATGGCATGTTATCAGTATAAAGGCTAGTGAAAATAAATTGGTATGTGTATCTGTTTTTGAAGTGTAATGCTTAAATAAAAAGATGGTGTGTGTTTCTTCATTTAAACAAAATTTCAAAGGATAGTATTTTTCAGCGTTGTACTGTTTGTTATTTCTCAATGTAAAGGGTAACAAGGGGAAAAAAACTGGTATGGTACATCTGTTTTTTAAGCATGATAATTTTATTTATTTCTTTAGTGATGCATATATATAGAGAGAGAAGGTATTTGGTCCAACTGAAGTTATAATAAATCTAATTTTACTAGATCTCTCCCTCCCCTCAGGTGTAGAAAATTTTCAAATGCAGAAAGTTTATTTGCAGAATTAATTCATTTCTGATAAACTTATTATCATTAATTTTTTATATACATGTTATTAAGTTACACATATGACTACTGTGTAATAAACTTGTATTTAGGGCAAAAAAATTAACTATTTTTGCAGCTGGTGACTAATATCATATGCTTCTAAGAATATTACTTTAACTTTTTTCATAATTTTTGTATTTCAGGAACATGAAACTGTTATTTTGATATACTTAAATAATAAAAGTGTGTATCTGAATCAATTAATGGATACAAATATTTTACAGTTATTTTTAGAAGATATTTGCCATATCGCTTCTAATAATTCATAAAGTATGTTAAAATATAGGTAAATAATTTGGTGCAGAATTCAAATTTAGGGTTTGAAATATAGTGAATCATGAGACTAAATGATTTTTATTGTCATGATTTGCCTGGGCTTAAGAATGTACTTTTCGCCCGGTGGAAATTGTCATCAAACTGTCCTGAACAGGCTTTTTGTTGATAATAACTTCCAGGCTTATCAGTACCTCCTTTTGAGTGGAGGGTATACAAATATAGTACCCAATTTAAATTACATTGTGATTGTAATAATATTGTGGTATTAAATAAGTGATTATAATTACAATTTAGATAATTGCATTGTAATTATATTACATTGTATCTGTGAACTCTTAATTTCATTACTTTATGCAATTATGTTGTAAGTGCATAATCTAATTGCAATAATATAATCTATTCACAATTACAAAATAATTATAAATGCAGTTACATCTTAAATAGAGGCCATTTTAATACTTTTAAATTTTTGCAAGATAACTTCCCATTAAGGTTCATTTGGAGGAAACTATGCAAATACTAAAAAAGAAGTTATGCTAAATTTACATATTTTGTACAGTAGTTTCTTGTTATAATGCTGTTCAATATATCTTCAATACTTTTGTAAATTTAACGACATTCTTTGCAATTACTGTGGGGCTTTAAAAAGAAGTTTCTTAGTTATGCTTTCTAATAAGAATGTGTTAAAAAATTAAGTATATATGTATAATAACTAGCAATTAAAAAAAACTTGACTGCATGAAAATGCTGTTGCTGTGTAAAATAAAAAATAAGCTTTCTTTTATGCTTTGAAAATGAATTACATGTGGTTAAGTCGTCCTTTTACAATTTAAGAATGTGGTTAACACACATTCTTAAATTGGACAGGTTTTATCTAAATTATTAGTATAAAATATATAAACTATGAATTATTTTGTAACATAACTCAAATTACAAAATTCATTCTATATACGTTCAAATTTATTATCTTTTATGGAATAACTGTTTTTTAATTTAGGTAAAAATTGGATTTTTAGAAGTATTACAAATACAATGCAACACAAAGGTGATCTGATTGGAGAGGAAGGACTTTTTATTACGGTTTCTAGTTCGTATTTATATTACATTTGGTGAAAAGTCATCCAAAACACAGAATGCTGTACTTTCTTCTTCCATATATGTTATGAAATATTTCACACATTTAAAAGAAAGTGTTTCTTCAGAGTCTTGCACAATTATTTCCATATACCTCAGACTAAAATGACAACATATTCTTAAGTTATTTTTTTAGTATGAATTTACAGTGTTTTTATGGAAATTTTTGTTAAAATGTCATTAAGATAAATTTATTTGCACACTCTACGCTTTAACTATTTCCCCATTTGACACTATTGAAAGTTTTTATTCATATCTTATTTATTTTAGTCTGCTAACGAAACTGAAACATCTAAAGAATAAGTTATTTTGAATATGTTTACAAAATATACGCGAAATTTTTATTTAAGTGAAAACGTCTATATACTATTCGAGAATTAATTAAATTATCCGAAAAGTTTATGTGCGCTGAATGCCGCGCGTCTATAAAATAAATCTTTAAAAAAAAACAGCAGACATTCAGCCAGCGTGTGCGATAAACGCGCCAAAATTGGTAGCGCGTTCCCTCCCTCGCCAAGAGAGAAAAGTTGGTGATTCAGCCTGGTTAGAGGAGCCTTAGGTAGACCTCACCGCTAGGCGCACTTGCGTTGTCTAACAAACATGGGACCTATAGCATTTTTCTCTATGAAACTCAATAAAAGTCAACAGAAATGGTAATCGTACAATAGGGAATTATTTTCAATTCATTCTGAAATTAAGAAATTCCGACACATGTTAGAGGGCAGAAATTTTATTTATACGGATCAAAAACCATTAATATATGCTTTTAAACAGAACCCTCATAAATGTTCACCTCGACATTGCGACATAGATTTTATTTCTCAGTACTCTACTGATATTAGGCATATGCAAGGTTAAAAAAATGTTGTTGCTGATGCTCTTTCAAGAATCGAAATTGATTCCATAACAAATCTCCATTTTGGATTTTAAAAATTTTTCGGAAGCTCAACGCATGATCCGGATGTACAAGACCTTCTCAAAAACAACACATCTTTTGAAACTGGATTTAAACCGTGCCAATATTCTGATGGGTATATTCTTTGTGACATATCAAGGACATTCCTCGTCCATTTGCTCCAATTCTTTCGCAGACTCATCTTAATCATCTGTACATCGTCACATCCAGGATTGCAGCTACTACGAAGCTTATTGTTCTCGTTATGTATGGCTCGATATGAACGTCATATCAAAAATGGGGTGAAATCCTGTGAATCTTGCCAAAAATCGAAATTACTAGGCATACTAAAGCACCACTGGGCACATTCTCTCTTCCTGATGCACGTTTTTCAGAAATCCATATGAATATCGTCGGACCGTTACCTCCATCAGAAGGCAACGTGTACCTTTTAACTCTCATAGATAGATTCTCCAGATGGCCTGAAGCCATTCTCATCCGGATATGAAACGGAAACCATTTGCAGAGCCATCTTCAACTGTTGGATATCTCGTTTTGGCTGCTCCATCGATCATAAAACAGATTAAGGTTCTCAAATGAGATCCGCAATTTTTTGCAAGAATTTACGCGCATTTTGGGTACGAACAGAATCACAACAACAGCCTATCATCCAATGTCCAACGGCATTGTTGAACGATTTCATCGACATTTAAAATCTTCTCTCAAGGCTCACGAGACCAATAACTGGACTGAAAAACTACCAGTTGTTATGCTTGGTATTCGGACAGCCGTAAAGGAAGATCTACAGTCATCTTGTGCTGAACTGGTGTATGGCACAACTCTCAAGCTGCCTAGTGATATGATAAAGTCATCTAAGATATCTTCGTATGACACACAATTATCACGAATCTTCGGCATAGAATGCAACAATTGAATCCAATAGCAACATCTGCACATTGCCAAGAAAAGTGTTACGTAAATGCTACCTCTTAAAGTCGTGTACGCATGTATACTTACATGTGTCGATCGAGTAAAGCCCACCTCTGTGCCAACCATACACAGGTCCGCATAAAGTCCTTTCTAGAATGGACAAAACTTTCACAATTGATATTAACGGTCTGAAATCTTACTGTGTCTATAGACCGTGTGAAATCCAGCTTATTTGCTTTTGGACTCTAATTTGCCCTGAACTGAAAACAAATAAAGACTTAAAGACAGTTCAGCAGAATAAATCTGCAAACGAACTCTCTTAAGACACAAAACTGTCACCAGATCGGGAAGACATGTTCACTTCCCTAAGAAACTTGCTTCTTACATAACAATTTAAAAACACTTTTTTTAAAATTCATA